GAAGACTCTAACAAGAAACCATGGGAGCATCATTATCTATTTATCAACTTTAAGGTTGGAAGTGAGGAAAAGAGACATTAAAGCCTCCATCTAATGTATCTGATATTTTCAATTCCTGTCGCACAGGTTGTGGAGATCCATCTCAACCCCCTCCCCCATAAACACACGCACACATACAAGCGGTTGTATGTACACGTAATGAACTCGGATATCCAGAACCCTGCATTCAACCGCACCATGTAGTCAATCATTCAGAGCTGAGAAAAGCACTGTGCAGAGGAGGCATCATGTATACTTTATAAGTCAGGCTCTGGCGGCAGTGTGCCAGTGTGGGCCTGCAGTAGATCAATGCCCACCTGATATATTTCTGTCTCATCCATGATTCACTATTGCACTGGCAAGTGGTCATTTCAAAATAAATCAGAATACATTACCTGTCAGATGGATCGCAAATTTCCAACCGCTTTCGTTCTGATTGAGCGGTTGCTTAACTCTTCCTGCTGCGGCGAAAGATGAAACTACGCAATATTTTACGAGTGTTTAAACCCTTCATATAGTGGTTAAACGACCGGAGCCAAGATGACAATAAAACAGGGGATAGCCTCAGTTTTTTATTATCTTAAAGTGAAATAATACAGGGAGAAAAGTTCCTTAACCAACAATATTGTCCAGAGTTTTCATCAGCAGCAAATTACATCATGATTGAGCTTTCTTTTTTCTTCCTCTTTTTATTTTCACTTGCCTGCAAGAAATGCAGAGGACAGGCTGCCCTCTCTATTATGGGCCTAAATTACTGCCATAAACTGGTTTATATAGCTAACTTTGGGACAGAGCAGGGGGTAAACTGCAACAAATAGTTTTTATATATTGCTCTGGAATAGCTTGCCCTGGAAAGCATCTTCCTTTAATTCCACCCTTCATCAGCAACAAAATAAAAGCTCAAACTGATGATAGAATCCTTTGGGAGGAAAAAAGAGCCAAAAGCAATCTAAAAACAGCAGAAAAAAAAACAAACAAATCTTACACTTTAAACTAACAATGAAAAAAATGAAAATATTATTCCTCACAACAGTAATGAAATATAATTCTGATGCCAAACTGACTAAAATTTGGAAATACTATAAAATAATGCTGTTATAAAATACTTTTAGAGAGTAAGCAGGGCTTAAACCTTGGGGGAAAAGAAACAAAGGAGTGGTGGAACAATAATTATAACTATTTTTAAATAACTCCTATTATTATAACTGTAATAAAAACATAATTTCAATCTAATTATTGTCTAAGACTGAATCTGATCTAATATTATGTATCCTGATGAGATACTTCAATTAACAAGTGATCACTGAAATCTGACCAGGCTTTCATGCTTTGGTCCATCCCACAGAAAATAAACAGAATAATAAATACGCTGAATTTATACGGCATTTTTCTTGCCATGCTCATCGACTAAAGGTCTCTACATTTCAGACACGGTCATATGAACGCACAAAAATCTGACTCTAGAATGAAGTATTCTAGGGCTACGTTCACAAGCAGCCTGAAGTGACCCAAATCTGAGTCTTTTGCTCATATGTGACCTGTAACTGATCTTTTCATGGCTGAACAACACAGATCTGATTTTTTTTTCAAAGTGACCCAGGCCACTTGGCTATGTGGTCCTGAATCCGATCGGTATCAAATCTTTTTAAATGTTAACCTGTGTCTGAATGGCCAGGTCGTATCCATCCAACCTGTACGCCATTAATACTCAACAAAGGTCACCATTCTGCGTGGTACTACGCAGAAGCAGGAATATGATGGTGGACAAAAATGTGGAGAGCAGTCTTTATTTTCAACATTCTTGAAAAGATTGCGTTATTAATGCACTGGCTGAGATTGGGAAAGAAATAAAAGATTCCAAGACGAGCTCCAGCACTACCATCCATGTTTACTTCCGTAAACACAGGACACGCTTGCTTGTGACATCATTGCGTCCTCTACTCTGCATGCGAGACGTTTAAGTAGTGTGACTGCAGTTCACACAAGAGATCACATACAAGTTGCATCTATTTGGAAATGTGAACGGCAATGCAAAAGATTTTACACAAAAAAAATAAAAATAAATCGGAATTGAGCATTAAGTAAGGCCTGCAGTGTGAAGGTAGCCTTAGATAGCCGATATGATACTTAAGCCTGACTCCTCTGCTTCCTCATTTAGTCCAGGGCTGACTTTTTAAAGTTGGGATGTTTCCTTTTAAAGCTCTTAATGGTTTGACTCCTTTGTATCTGAGTGATGCTAAAACTGTTCGTACGCACACCTGCAGGGTCTTAACCAGCGCCTGCTGAAAGAACCGATCAGAGGTGATTCAGCGGTAAATTTAAACTGACCCGCCTCGTGTTAAAACAGGAATTAAAACATATTTATTCAGGATGACTTTGAAGACGTGATAGTGTAGCACTATTTTACAGCTATTTTTCTGAGGTTCTTATGTTTTTTCTTTCATCTTAATGCCTTTTTTATTTCTTACTTTTAACATATTTTTTTTCCAACTGTAAAGCACTTTGGTTAACCTAAACAGCGATACAAATAATTGGTAACATTGTCACAATGCACTCCAGATATATCAAAAACTACTTTAAACATGTAAAATAGAAGGTTTATACACAGTAAATTTCTTTATCATACTATGATTGGGGGGATATAAAAGGGAGTTTTTCCTCTCCACTNATCTGATCTAATATTATGTATCCTGATGAGATACTTCAATTAACAAGTGATCACTGAAATCTGACCAGGCTTTCATGCTTTGGTCCATCCCACAGTAAATAAACTGAATAATAAATATTCTGAATTTATACGGCATTTTTCTTGCCATGCTCATCGACTAAAGGTCTCTACATTTCAGACACGGTCATATGAACGCACAAAAATCTGACTCTAGAATGAAGTATTCTAGGGCTACGTTCACAAGCAGCCTGAAGTGACCCAAATCTGAGTCTTTTGCTCATATGTGACCTGTAACTGATCTTTTCATGGCTGAACAACACAGATCTGATTTTTTTTTCAAAGTGACCCAGGCCACTTGGCTATGTGGTCCTGAATCCGATCGGTATCAAATCTTTTTAAATGTTAACCTGTGTCTGAATGGCCAGGTCGTATCCATCCAACCTGTACGCCATTAATACTCAACAAAGGTCACCATTCTGCGTGGTACTACGCAGAAGCAGGAATATGATGGTGGACAAAAATGTGGAGAGCAGTCTTTATTTTCAACATTCTTGGAAAGATGCGTTATTAATGCACTGGCTGAGATTGGGAAAGAAATAAAAGATTCCAAGACGAGCTCCAGCACTACCATCCATGTTTACTTCCGTAAACACAGGACACGCTTGCTTGTGACATCATTGCGTCCTCTACTCTGCATGCGAGACGTTTAAGTAGTGTGACTGCAGTTCACACAAGAGATCACATACAAGTTGCATCTATTTGGAAATGTGAACGGCAATGCAAAAGATTTTACACAAAAAAAATAAAAATAAATCGGAATTGAGCATTAAGTAAGGCCTGCAGTGTGAAGGTAGCCTTAGATAGCCGATATGATACTTAAGCCTGACTCCTCTGCTTCCTCATTTAGTCCAGGGCTGACTTTTTAAAGTTGGGATGTTTCCTTTTAAAGCTCTTAATGGTATGACTCCCTTGTATCTGAGTGATGCTAAAACTGTTCGTACGCACACCTGCAGGGTCTTAACCAGCGCCTGCTGAAAGAACCGATCAGAGGTGATTCAGCGGTAAATTTAAACTGACCCGCCTCGTGTTAAAACAGGAATTAAAACATATCTATTCAGGATGACTTTGAAGACGTGATAGTGTAGCACTATTTTACAGCTATTTTTCTGAGGTTCTTATGTTTTTTCTTTCATCTTAATGCCTTTTTTATTTCTTACTTTTAACATATGTTTTTCCAACTGTAAAGCACTTTGGTTAACCTAAACAGCGATACAAATAATTGGTAACATTGTCACAATGCACTCCAGATATATCAAAAACTACTTTAAACATGTAAAATAGAAGGTTTATACACAGTAAATTTCTTTATCATACTATGATTGGGGGGATATAAAAGGGAGTTTTTCCTCTCCACTATTGCTACAAGCAAGCTAAGTGTGAGGGATTGCATTCGAGTCAACGAGACAATGCAATCAACTGGTTTTCCTTAGATAGAAAACTTTGAATCAATTTGACGGTATGATCTGGTTGAACTGTAAAGTGCTTTAAAGCTGCTATTTTGTTTCCCCCCAAACTGACAATACTGGAATCTGGTTCTATTTATCATTTCACTTCACTCATATTAGTTAGGAAATACTTTTCATGTGTCTGTTCTGTGTCTCCTATTTTCATACTGGCTGAGAAAAAAACATTTTTCTCAGCTGGTTTAAAGGAACAACAACTTACAGAATTATGAACCAAAGATTTTTGGTGAAAATATGAATTTATATTTTCTTGAAATATTTCTCCACGTAGACTGAAAGCTGCAGACATATAGATATATATAGAAATATAGATGCCTATAAGCACAAATGGCCTATGAGCACAAAAAACACTAACCTGTAAAGTTAATTATATAAAAAAATGCCTTTTTGCTTCACCTAGACTCATATAATCCATTGATGGCAGAATATTCTGAGCTGTATTTACATGCACTGGGATTTTTGATAGTCATCCACCTAAAACAGTCATTCATTCATTAAAACTTAAATATTTTATTATTTCACCTAAATTAAGATAAGAAAGTCAAAACCCTGTAATGAATACATAAAAGCTTTCAATAAATAAAATAATTTAGACCAATGAAATTCTACATAATAAAAATGTGATTTCATTTTGTTAAAAAAAATGCCATTCATTTTTAAGAAGAAAACTAATACTATTTAAGAAAATGTATTTAATAAAATAATGCGTTAATGTGTGCATTCTTCAGAAATGTTGCTCATTGAAGGTGATTTCAAGCTTTCTGTCTTACTTGTGGGGTAAAAGGTGAGGAAGAAGAGCAGAAGACCAGCAGCCAAGTTCCCTAGGAATGTGACGACTCCACAGGTGATGCCTTCAGGGACCGGGTACACAGTCTCAATGAACAGCTCGAAGAATATCGGCACACTGCTGTTGATGAATACGCCAACCAGGATGCAGGACGTGTAAAGGATGGCTGTGAAAAGAAAATGCAAACACCGGAACCAAATGAATCACAGTTTGTTTTAATGCACCAGATTAATAAAAAAAAATCTAACTGAACAATTCTTTGGGAAAAATGACAAAAAGGGTCCAGTTTATAGAACAGCAGTGATGTATTCAACCTTTAAGGGCTTCCTGCTCAACCATATTTTTTACCAGCAACAGATTTATGATGGACTTTCACCATGAAACAACGCTCCATTTAGTAAGGTGGCCCTCAAGGTGGCAATTTAGCACAAACAAAGTCAAAATACTCTGGGGTTTTTCAGAGCAAATAGTCATTTTTTTCCAAACCCAATTCCAGCATCTCCTTCCCTCTTTTCTCAGCATGAAATGATTAGTTTGTCATTTGAAATGTATTTTTCTGGCTAACTTTCTAATTATGATGTTTCTTTTTCATGAGCTCTGTATTAGAAATAATTGATTGAAGGCAAAAGGTGCAAAAGCTATTAGAACATGTGAGTATAAAACATTTCTCTATAGCAGGGATTTTTTTTTTTCTGCAGACATTGTATTGTATTTTTTTTTTATATTTTAATCTGTAAAAAAATTAAAAATCTTAATTTTTTAGTAATTATTAGTTAAATAAATGAGAGCCCAGAGAATGAAATGCTTCACCCCATCATATACCTTAAGTTAAAGTCTTATTTGTTGTTACTACCTGTAAAATAATAGCAAAAGAGTGATAAATCCATCTCTATTTCTTACACTTCATCTTGGAGGGACAGTTTTTACCAGTCTGGCATGAACTGCAACAGAAACATTGTTGATTGCCTGGGTCCACCGGTTCAGTTTCAATTTATTTTGCAATATATCACTGGTTTTATTATGCCTGCACACATTGCATTAAGATGCAGTTCATGTCACAGATACCACAGTACATTAAAAAAAAAAAACATATTTCTTATTCTTTTGCCAAAATACACAGGTGTCCACTCAGTTAACAGCTTGTCTCATTTGGTCCTTGTGCATGGTGAGAATCTTGTTTTCAGGGTATCACTAAATTTTGCTGGGATTTTCACATTTCCATTCAAACATGTGTTTTTAGGCTTAGTTCATTTCTTACAATGATTTGTTGAAGGCTTTCATGAATATGTTTGAAAAACTAGTTCATAGGAACAAGATGCGGTAGGTTAAAAATGTATTTTTAAAGACTTGCAGGAAATGCTAGCCAGCATGCTTTTTCACGGATTTAGCCTGAGCCCATGTTTGCACATGAACCAAACCCCGGAGTCCGCCTTTTTTCCCCTCTAACTTCTGCTTAACGCCTGAAATAACGTCCCATCTGTCTATGTCCTTTTATCTGAGCTCCCCTGAGGACCACCGCATTCATGCTTACAGGTTTGCAACTGGGGACCTTGACCCCAACAGGCAGCCTTCAAAAGCTGCCGTGTTTTTTGTCTATCATACTATATAGGATTATATCCCAAAAGGTAGAAGGAGACCCTTTGAAGGATGCCAAATAATTATCTCAGAAAATGACTGTAATTATTAAAAACAGGAAGAAAAAAGGTTGCCTTGGAGAAAAAAGGTGTCCAATCAATCATATGTGAACCTCACATGTTCTTCCTCTGTATTTGTAGTATTTCCATAAGCAATGCTGCCCCCCACAGCTCAACCACAGTAATGTTTGAAATATAAGTTAACCATTTGAATTGTTTGCTTTGCCGGTATGTTTTGAGTCGCAACCCGTCTTTTTACATTTAGCTATAATGTCTTCTGTATCTTCTTTTTAAATTATTGCTTGAGTAATGTTTACATTTTGTTTGGAAAAATTAATTACAGACCTCAAGGTACAATGTCTAATGGAATTGCTGACGGTATCGTTAACTTTCCTACATCTGCCACTGATTGCTAAGTTTAGCTACAGGGGAAAAAATGGCTAGAGCACTTTCCGCTTTTTCCATATGAAAGACAATTAGCACTTTAGAAATATATCTAGCTTGATATTTAAACAAAAACTTAAGAGTTGTATTTACATAAAAAAGGAGCACCAATTTTTCTCTTTTAAATTCAGTCTGTTTAAAACTAAATCTAGGAAGTCTGTTCAGAAGCAGACAGGAGGCTAGCTACCAGACAACAACAGCAATTATTAGCCTGTTGTTGTTGTCTTACTCTTAGAGAATAAGAAAAAGCAGCAAAGTTCTGCAACTGAAGATTCCTACCAAAGGAAATCTGTTTGTTCTATAGTTATTCCTTAAGTCTGTAGCTGCGTTTAGACCAAACCGCTCAGGCACGGACTGGGAACGATTTTCCATCTGGCATTTTGCCGTCTACACCGGCCCACTTATGGACGTAAGACTGGAAATGATGCAAATCCCCATCGTGCAACGCAACATATTTTTGCAAAATATTCAAACATAAATTCGCCAAATATAAGAGGAACATTGTAGTTTGGTTTAAAGAAAGCATTGTAGTTTTATTATACATTTTAGTTTTATTATAATTTAGTTTGTTGCAAGGATTTTACAGTTGAAGAAATAGAAAATTACACCATATGCCAACTGTCACAAGGATGTGCATGACAAGGAAGGGCTATATATACTGCATGCATCATTTTTATAGTTAATCTTGTATTACTTCATGATCTCCTTAAGTTATTGACTGTCGCAGGTAGGTGGTTCGGCTGGAGAGTAAGCGCTGGGGCCGGTATGATTTAAGGAGGGCCGGCCCTCACATGCTGAAATTAGCACCGGCCCACCGGCCAAATGCCTGATATACAGATTACCAGTCTGAGCCTGGTTTTAAGGCATCATGGGAATATGGTTTACTTCCAAATTCTAGGGTGGAGGCACATCCAGAAGCTTCAGGAGGTTCTAATTGAAGCTTTTCACATGTTTTCTGTTCTGCGTTTGCCTTGAAAGTTAAGGTCAGGTTTAAGTATTTAATTTCCTTTTTGGGATCAAAGACATTTTTTTTATTTGAGTTTAATTTAAGCTTAGGTCAAGTGCTTAAGCATAGCAAATTAACGGAAACATGAATGAAAGTTTATGTAAGGTTCCTTTTAGAATAAAAGAGTTAATATTCAAGTCTTTTTGTTTCTAGCAAAGCATTTTGTTGTGATATCCCATCAATCTGTTTGGTAAAACATCAGACAAACCAAACTGGGAGCCGACTGCATTAGGAAGCTAATATCTGGGATATGAAGACATGAGCTAGACAGACAATACTAGCAGTGGTCGGGAGAATGACGATAGATGATTATAATAACAATCTAAGGTAGAGAAATACATGACTGAGTGCTTATTAGATGACTTAGGGAAAGGGAAGCTAAATCCACTAACATCCCTTAAGGTTTTATCTCCTGACGTGAATTGATTGATAGCCCACCTTGTGGCAGCTAGTTTCTTTAATCGCTTTGACTTTGTACTCTAACACGCACGGTGACACAGTAACTACAGGGATGAAAAGTGACTAAGCTTCAGTGGCTCAAAAATCAAAGAGTCACCTTGACGGGGATGTTAGCGTGGGCCTACCTGCGGTGACAGGGAGGTGGGTGATTGTGCTCAAACAGGTGAGAGTAAACCACGTGGAGGACAGCGAGGCTCCGGCCAGCATCAGCACCAGGATCAGCTTCAGCATCCCACGGATGGAGTCTGCAAATCTGGGTTTCACAAGAGATGACACAAAAAAAAAAAAAATCAAAAACAAAATCCCAGCTGTGTCAAAATGTAAAACGCTGACACAAATTCAAAGATACAAGCTGACGAGATTAAAGGCGGCTGCTCTGGAAACAAGATGCATCCTTCATAAACACAAGATGATACGCTGCAATATTTCAGCAACTCTGTTTCTTCTGTGTGAAGCGTCAAAATATATTACAGAGGATATGCACTGCTTCGCAGGAAGGATAGATCATTTCCGTCTCCCACTTGTTTCTGAGCATGTCAGTTCTGCTTCTCATTAGACTGAGAGGCCGAAAGTGTAGAGTTGATTCAATTTGTTTCAACAACTCAGCCGGCAAAGTCAAGATATGTCATAATGTAGGGAGAAGAGAAGCCATTGGGCCATATCTACAAAGACATCTTTTAAGTTCTGGGGCTTTTCATTGCAGCCCTTTCTAATATCTATTTGAACTGGTCCTCTCTTCTCCTTTGAGACATATGCATATTAGAGGGAGATCGGATGAAGCTGTAGAAGCTCGTATTTAGGATAGACACTAATTGCTTTAATTTAATTGGTTACAAACAATAAGCGGAAGAAAATAGGCTGACAAGTAACCAAATACAAGCATAAAAAGACCCGCTGCACATGATTGATTGGTTCAGCTTGGGGGTGAAATTCTGTCAATGAGCTGAAAGCAAGGGGATGGCAGAAAACATCTTTTGCTTTGACGGGGGGGAGCATTCACACACTGTTCTCCTGTGGCATTTTTACGAGACATAAATGTCCTCCGATGTTGTAGAAGCTGTCTTTTATAGGCTAACAAATTAGCTCTATGTTTACAGAACATGAGACACATATGAATAAGTCCACAGATCGCAGGGGCAGGAAACGGGGCAGAACCTCATGAACTTTTATCTCTCCTGATGAAATCACAACTGAAGTGCTCATGGGCCCACATTTGCCAAAACACATGGATCCATCTCATGGTTCCCAGGCTGCAACTGCACCCCCTAAAATCTGCATCCACCATCTGCCACAGGCTGGCTCACATCCACAACTCTTCATCCACTCCTGGTGCCAGAGAGACGGACAAACACATTTCCCTCAACCCTGCACAAGCCTCTCAACCCTTTGCAGAGAAGATCACAGACAACTCTGTGAATTTTAATCGGCTGTTTTATTCAAACTAAGCAGCTTTTTCAGTTGTTCCCTATCTGGTCCCAAAGTACACTTGACAAAGATGTTTCTTGTTGTTTTCCAAATGTCAGTTTAGTTTTAAGTGTTTCAAGACAACTGGCTCACAGTACTCAACACAGCAAAACATTTCTTAAATGGTAATACTGGCAAACCAAATTCCAATAGAACAGTTTATCCATTTTAATTTGGTTAACACCCCTGTCATATAGTTGCATATTAGCCTTTGTTCTAATGGTTTTTGGGCACACAATTAACATTGCTACATCACTTTATAAGAAACTAATGCTACCGCACATATATTATGAACACCATGAAAGTCAGTCTGTCACAGAATTCTTTGGACATGTCAGCATTTGCAACCTGTGAGCTGCACGCATGTGCTACATTGTGACAGGATTGACACAAATGCAACTCAGATACTGCAGCGATAATGAGCCAATAATAACATTTCATAACCTCATGGTAATCACTGATATTTGGTCTTGCTTAGAGAACAATAGCAACCCTTGCTTAAAGGTAGCTACTGTTTCATTTTCCCCACCACAATATGCAGATGGTTCATTCAGCAGAGGAATGCGGTCGGCTACTGTAGGAAGTTTCTCTCCTTTTTTTGAAAACCTGATGTTATTATTTTTCCGGAGACATCCTCTCCGTTAAAAGTAAAGGAGAGGATGTTCTTTTTCCTGGTGGACCATCTAAGTAAGAGGTCCTCCTAATTTTCAGTCATTCTGGTGATATGCTTAGGTAAGGCCATCCTATGTGCTCGTCCCCAGTTATGTGTGGTGAGCTACGGTTTCAAACAGTCATTGAAGCTCACTTTTCTCAACGCCGTTCTTTGAAAATGACCGAGGGTCGTGAGAGAAAAAGTGTCAACGTAGCGTATGAGAAGATGAGAAAAGCCTTGGAAGAGAGAAACAAGACCAGAGTGTTTTTGGGAGTTTCTTTCATGTGATAGCATACACTAGAAGCACAGGTCGGGCTTCCCACTGATCCCTTGTTTGCAAAGTTTCTACTTGACAGGTAAAGTTTGGCATGCTATTTGGAGAAATCCATTTCACATCACTGCTAGTAAAACGAGGAGAATGGTTGTTTCTGCATGCTCTCCCACATGTTTAATAATATCCAAGTTTTCAAAAGCAGCAGCAGGCAGAATGACTTCTGGTTCAAGGGTCAAACGGCGCCGTCATCCAATCAGCGATGTCTCATGTTTCCCATTGGTACCTACCTTTTCCGGTAGGTTAATGTAATTTTGTTTTTCTTAATGTAGTTGCGCTTTGCTTTGTGTAGTTGCGATTTCCTTAATGTAGTTGCGCTTTTAGATTTGTAGTTGCAGTTTGCACTTCAGGGCCACCGTAGCAATCCCTCTCGGGAGCAGGTACAGGGTTGTGCATGTGGAGATGATGGGTCTTTTCATAAATTCGGGAATATCCTCCCCTATACCTTTAACTTATGATGGATAAGTACACTATTAATAAAGAAGAGCACTCACAGGTGTGCAAAGAAAACGAACAAACCACTTCATGCATATACAGAGGGGTGTTCGGTTAATATGGATGTTTACTTGTGGACTACGAGTTAAATGAAGAAGAAAAAAAATCAATAAATTTTGATTTCACATTTTATATTTAAACTTTAGACATATTTGAGAATTAATAATCTTTTTTTCTTTCTGGGACCCCGTCATTCAGCACTTCTAGTGATGGAAAATGTATTGCATTTGTAATACATGCACAATTTTAAAATTTACAATTTCCCAACTGCTGGTGCCTTTTGTTTGTTTTTTGTTTTTGAGGGGGTTAGCTTACTTTGAACAAGAGTAAAACATGTCCTAGGAGGCAGTGATATGATAGAATTTGCTGCCACACAGAAAGGAAGAGAGCAGCCAGCGCATAAATCAATGCATGTCAGCTTAGAAGTAAGCACTTTTCCACGTAGCAGTAAAGCCCCATGATAATGCACTCAAGAGTGAGCAATCAAGGCCATGAAAACAATAAGGAGCCAAACATGTACATGCTTGTGGTTGGTAACATTTCTGTAAATATTTTGGTTAAAAAAAATAAAAAAAAACAACGTTTTAAATTGAGCCAAAAAGCACACAGCCACTCTCAGGAGAATGGAATAATAAATTAGTCGAAGGCCGTAGCTTTACCAGTGGGCCGCTGCAGACCGCCCTGGACAGATTATGTCCCTTAATGATATCATAAGGGGAATGTTTTTCTAACAGAGCGTTTTAAGCACATATCTATCACATAGTAAGCTGGAAAAAGTTGAAGAGAGAAGGATGAGGAATTTGTAGAGCAGTGTGTTGATACCGAGGCTGGCTAACTGTTAGCTATTAATGACTTTACTGCTTTCTATCAAAACTTAACGTCCCTGGTTTCTAGGAATCTGGGCTATACCTGATATAACCTGCACTACATTCAATCATTCATTCATCAAAACAGAATTTAACGCCAGAAATGAGGAATGAGGTGATTTAAATAATGAAAAAAAAAGGTTCATCTTATTTCATGTGAATAATAGCTAATTATCATATTTTAAAAGCAAAAATACTCATTACAAATATCTGCTATGGGCAAACACACCAGTTTTAGATCAGGTTTTGCAGTGCAATTTAACTTCAACAATAGTTAGGGTAAGTTATCAAAAGAAAGTCAGCACATCCCAGCTGCGTAACAGAACTAATGTGTTCTAATGTGCCAAGCGCAGAGCAGAAATAGAACAATATGATGACCAACATGGAGTCACAGATCTTCCCTGTTTACAGATAAAACCCATCAATCAGGAGCTGATAATCATTTGTTTTTGCTCCATATCATCCCATCAATCTGGAGCTCTGCACACCTCAGGCCTCCGTGATCTGGAGGAAAATTAGCAGGTTTAGTTTGCTTCCAACTACTTTTGACTCGCCTACACTTCTCCAGGGTATTGTAATGGGAAGATAATTGATGAAGTTTGTAAGTAGAAATTCTGTTCACTCCCTCTTTTCATTTCAAGAAAAAAAAAGGTGCAATATGTCAACGTGAACCCACCAGCTGACAAAGGGATACTCATTTTCTGCCATCTTTATTTCAAAGATTCAGACTTCAGTTGGTTTAATACCCCCATCCTGCAATCGCATTGCATTAATATATTATGGCTTTAAGAGGAAAGATTACTTCCAGTTCATGAAACGAATTTAAAGGAATACTTTAAAGGTTACGAGAGCTAACATTAAAAATAAACAGATGCTCAGATTTGGATCTCAAAGATGTTTTTGAAGACGTCTTATGCTGTTTATCAAGACTTTGTTTAGTGTCCTACAGTCTTCTCTCTTCAGGAAACGGACTTTTATGG